ATTATTTTATGTGAGCTGTGAGCTCCTGTACTTGTTAATATGGTTTTACATTTTTGTTCCTTAACAAATGTCATTGGCTTGCTACGTAATTTAATTTATGTACGTGTTTTTTTTGTTTTATTCATAGAACACTAGGGAGACCGCCTTTGCCATCAGGAAGTTGCCCCTGGTTAAAGCTAAAAGATACTTGGAGGATGTGTTGGCCCACAAACAAGCCATCCCATTCCGACGCTTCTGCCGTGGTGTTGGGAGGACAGCTCAGGCCAAGAACAGGCACTCCAATGGGCAAGGTCGCTGGCCCGTGAAGTCAGCTAAGTTCATCCTTGATTTGCTGAAGAATGCTGAGAGTAATGCTGAAGTATGTTTTTCGTTTGATTTTCCATATCAATATTTTATGTTCACTTTTAAAGTCATTAAATCCCTGATTGTTTTGTCACAGGTGAAAGGTTTGGATGTAGATGCCCTTTACATCTCTCATATCCAGGTTAATCAAGCACAGAAGCAAAGACGCCGCACCTATAGAGCTCATGGAAGAATCAACCGTATGTTTCTAAACTTGTGTAAATAATGTTTTCCTAATAGATTACTATTCCATGCTAACTTTGCCCTTGGTGTTTTGGCAGCTTACATGTCATCTCCCTGCCATATTGAGCTGATATTATCTGAAAAAGAAGAGTCAGTGAAGAAAGAGGTATTGATTGACCATCCCTCTGTTCACATTATCTTTACTTTTTTGCATCGGAATCTTATTTATTATGGCTGTTGTAGCCTGATACTCAATTGGCTACAAGCAAGAAGAAGGGTGCTCTTCGAAGTGGTGCTTCGTCTTAAATTGCTGTTGAAGGTAGTGATTATTATGTCAGTTTTGTCGATCGTTTGCCATTTTGTTTTTGGTATGAGCCACTCTACCTTATGTTTCTCATAGTGTTTTTAAGTTAATTAACAAACTGTTATTACAATCGAATAGTTAGTTTGTATTTGCAAATACTGTATGGATCCTGTATACTATTTTTATTCGGATTATGATTGAGAAATGGGAAAAAATGAAAGCGCTTATTTATACCGACAATGATGAGTTTGTATTTACACGTGTGGTTGTGATGTTTTTTTATCTGTCTAGTTTTATCATCTAAAATCATATTTATTGTTGCCTCTATCATGTTTTAAATGTTAAAAAAAAACACTTTGACTTCTTATTTTTTTAATATATATTAATCATGTCCAGTGGGACAATAGCCTGATTAGAAGTGAGATGCCATATACATTATGTCATAGGCGCTTAAGTATAAATTAACTAAAAATGTATTTTATAATTAATTATTATTATTATTAAACAAATGTTTTAAATGTTTTTCTTATTATCAAATTTATTGTTTAAAATTAGAAATAATAATATAACATTTAGTTTAAATATTAATTTGATTATAATAAATTATTATTATTATTATTATTTATTTGTTATAAATATTTACTGTTTAGAAAAGTAATATATAATTTATTTAAAAAATAAATAAATAATGTTTGTATTACGTTTTTATTGGTTATTTGGTAACTCACGGTTTCTTTTTTTTTTTTTTTTTTGTTAAACTTAGTAAAAGTTTAGTGAAATGGAGATGTTACCACGCGTGGCGGGTCTTGCCTCTACTCAACTTTTTTTTAACCATCTGTTTAGTCTTCTATTTCTGTCGCTTTTATTTTGGTTTTCGGTTTTCTACCCCCTCTTTCATCTATAATTTTTTTAATTATGTTTATAATAAATTAATTTTAATATTTTTTATGTATTTTTTATACATAAATAAAGTAATTATTATTAATTAAATATATATTTTAATTTATTATATTTATATTAAAATATAAATATAAAAAATATTTAATATTTTTTCTTTATATGAATATAAAATATTTATAATATTATTATTATAATATATTTAAATATTTGATTACATTTATTTTTTAATTTTTATTTAAAAATATTAAATATATAGTTTATAAGAAAATATTTAATAAGTTGATTTTTTTTAATTAATTAAAAATAAAAAAATTAATTGTCAATTTTTTTAATCATTTGTAATATAATTATTTTATTAAGATAATATTTGATAGATCCCATATTAAAATAATAAAATCTAAAAGATATGATATAATAAAACTTAATAAATATAAAATTATAAATAAAATAATATTAAAAAAAGAAGATTAAAAGTAAATAAATAAACTTTTGTTTTTCAAATTTATTGAAAAAACATTTGAGAGATTAAGTATATGTAAATAAGAAAAAGATAAAAGATAGAGAATAATGTAACTAATATAAAAGATTAATAAGAAAAATAAAATGAAGATGTGGGTAGAAGAAAAGTGAAAATAGGAAAATATGAAAAAAATGATCTTATATAAAATGAAAAAAAATATTTTTAAAATATTAATATTTTTAAATTTAAATATAAAATTAATGTACGGTGGAATCCAGACTGATATTTATTCCCCTCTCATCTTTGACTTTTTAAAAAGGAAAAAAATTTGAATCTATTTCCAGTTAACTCATTTTTTTCATTAAACTTGCAAAAAGTAAAAATAAAAATAAAAAATAATGGTCAAACCTGTCTTATATTTTTAAAATAAATTATAATTTTTAATCTAGTCTAATCTTACGTAAAACTAACATACTAATCAATAAAATTTAGCCCGTGATTGAAAATTAAAAAAAATAAAAATATTATTATGTTTATAAAAAATAATTAATTAAAAACTATTTAAATAAAAATATTTTTAAATTATATGAGTAGAATAAATTTTTGTTTAACATGTAAATTATAAGAAAATGAATTGATTCAGGATTAAAATAACAATTATAAATTTATTCTTATTTATAAAATATTTGTATTTTAATAATTCATTGATTTTATATGTGGTAATTAGCAACTTGTTTTCATATTTATTATCTTTATTAAATTCATTTTTATATATATATATATATATATATATATATATATATATATATATATATATATATATATATATATATATAATGAGTTCGTCCATAATTTTTTTTTTAATATATTCGTCGGACTTTTTAAACCCACCCATCGACTTAAATATATTTTATGATATAGTTACCATATATAGATAATTTTGCATTTTATCACCCTTTTCGAAATGTAAACGGTTCATGTAATAAAAATATCCATTACTTTTATATACATAATATTGAAAAAGAAATGAATATAAAATACAATTTAATACAAGAAATATAATATTGAAAATATTAATAAAATATTATTATTATTATTGATTACAAAATAACAAAATAAATAAAATTATATAAATTTATTATAATATATTCGTGAAAACAGAGATATATGTGTATATATTTTTTTATGATTATTTTTTAAAAATATTTGTTAGTTTTATTTTTGTTATTTAAATATTCCAACTCATTTTTATTAATTACTTATCATATTTTTTAAAATATATAAATTATAATATTTAATTTTTCAAAAAGTATATAATATTTTTATTTGTTTTCTTTAATGACATCAACAAAACGGTTTGAAATAGAATCTCCTCTATACATATTTAGCACAAATACAAATACTTATGTTCACAATTTTCATTTATAATTTAAGATGATATATCTAAAACGAAAAAAAAATGACACATTAATTGAAGGTACTTAAAAAAATTTGACATTTTTACTAACAAAATTTGTAATTGTGTTGTAAAAAACAGAAGAACCATATAATTATAAGAGATAAAGGAATAAAAAAAATATAATAAATACAATATTAAACTAAAAAAATTACAAACAAAATAATTTTCATATATTATTATAGATTATAAATATAGATAAAAATTACTAATATAATCCACTTTATCATGAAATTATATATATATATATATTATTTAAATTATATGATATATAATATTTATTATACAATGTATAATGGTTACAAAATTAAATTTATTATAAATTTGAGTTCCTAGAATTAAGACTTGTAATTGGGCATCTAAAGGGATCATTTATTCTTTTCCGAAGAAATTTGGTGGGTATTTTATAAAATTATAATACCAAGAGCCGAGTACTAATTAACAGGTATATATATATATATATATATATATATATATATATATATATATATATATATATATATATATATATAATCAATTAAAGAATATAAATAAATTATACCAGTAAATTTCACTCAATTTTGTTTTTATTTTGTCTCAATTTGACGTGTGACATTTTTTTCCTTATCCCTAATTCAGCTGTAAAACACATACTTATAATAAAAATATAAACCAAACGTATATATTTTTTAAAAATTGCACAGTGTTTTTTTTTTAAATTAATAAAATAAAACCCAAACAATACACGATGAGTAAGAAATAAAAATCACTGCTCAAAGTTGTATAATGTGTAAAAAATACATTAAAACTGTTTCAAATTAATAAAATGACTTTTTCAAAATAGTAATTTTGCAAACAAAGGTTCTATTTGGAATATTTTTTTTAAGCATATTTTTTGGTAATTAAATTCAATTTATGCATTTTACATATTCGATAAGTTAAATAGGAATATATATATATATATATTATTTAAATATATATATTTTAATTATTAATATACATTTTACAAAACAACAATAATAAAAATATTGATTTCATAAACTTTTGGTGAGATCTTAAAATGTGATGGGCCGGGTTTTACCAGAATTGCTTTGATTGCAGTGTCGTAAATTTACGTAAAATTAATATTAGAAGTTATATACTTATAGTCATTTAATTGGTAGAATATATTTTATAATTATATCTTTACTTTTTATTTTTCATTAAATGAAATTAAATCAGTTAAATGAACTTAATTATATTATTGCACATTTTTATTATCATTTACCGTATAATTCTAATAATAATAATAATAATTTAATTTGTCCTTAGTTGGTTGGGCCCAAAAGATAAATTATTATTATTAAGTTAAATTGGGCTGGATCTAGGTCCAGCCCATGGTCAACCCAATGAAACCTGGTACAAGAATCCAAGCTGTTAACCTATTTTGCTTCGTTCCTCAGCCGTTGTTCTTCCTCACCGGTTTGGACGAAGTAGGAGAAGCCGCCATGGTAAGTTTCTCATTCTTTTATTCTGAACTTCGTTGTCAGATCTCATAACCTTCATTTATATTTTTTATTTTTCTTTTTCTTTTTCTCTTTTATCAGGTGAAGTATTCCAGAGAACCCGACAATCCCACTAAGTGTAAGTCCCTTCTCACTTTCATTATTTATCAAAACCATAAGATTTTCGATTTGTGTGCGTATTGCCTGTGGTTATTTATGTGTCATGTTTATTCACACAAACGAGAGTATTTTCGGGTAGTTTTGGTTTTAGTTTAATTTAAACTAATTGCGTTGCAGCCTGCAAGGCAAGAGGCTCCGATCTCAGAGTGCATTTCAAGGTACTTTAATTTGTTATCCTTACGAATATGAGAAACCCTAATTGTTAGTATTGGATGTAATTTTCATGTGTATTGTATTTGCATTATGTTGTGTGTCATGACTGGAAAACCTGATGAAAAAAGCAGGGGTTTGTTGATCATGTAGACCGACCTCTCGTAAACATCAGGGATATAAAAGTCTCCATTGTTATTGGGTGAACCTCTGTTCTTTTGTTGTGATTGAAGGTTCAGTAAATGATGGAACAAACTTTTTCAATACATGTTTGTATGTTTTAAATCAGAACTGACATTTTTGTTGATTTAGTAAAATTCATTTGAAAGAATATGCCTAGTATTTAAAATTAAACTCTCGTCTAAGATAAGTGTCCTGATAAAACATATAAGTTATAGTCATCATAGTACTATGGTAAATAAGTTTTACCTCTTATTAATTAAAGTTTTTTCATAATCGTTTTCTGCCATTCTTGTGATTTAATTTAATTTGATTGATTCTCTTACTGTTGCCCCTTAATTTAACTTGCAGAACACTAGGGAAACCGCATTTGCCATCAGGAAATTGCCCCTGGTTAAAGCTAAAAGATACTTGGAGGATGTGTTGGCCCACAAACAAGCCATCCCATTCCGACGCTTCTGCCGTGGTGTGGGGAGGACAGCTCAGGCCAAGAACAGGCACTCCAATGGGCAAGGTCGCTGGCCCGTGAAGTCAGCTAAGTTCATCCTTGATTTGCTGAAGAACGCTGAGAGTAATGCTGAAGTATGTGTTGCATGTTTTACATTTGATTTTCCATATCAATGTTTTATATTCAATTTCAAAGTCATTACATATCTGTTTGCTTTGTCACAGGTTAAAGGTTTGGATGTGGATACTCTGTACATTTCTCATATCCAGGTTAACCAAGCACAGAAGCAAAGACGCCGTACCTACCGTGCTCATGGAAGAATCAACCGTATGTTTCTGAACCTGTGAAAGTAATGATGTCCTAATAATTACTATTACATGCAAATGTTAAAGCTTTATTTTTTCTGCAGCTTACATGTCATCTCCCTGTCATATTGAGCTGATATTATCTGAGAAGGAACAGCCTGTGAAGAAAGAGGTAATTATTGACCATCTTTTTCTTTTAACGTTATGTTGGATTTCATTTTGCATCAAAATCTTATTTATTGTGGTTTTTGTAGCCTGAGGCCCAGTTGGCAACAAGCAAGAAGAAGGGTGCTCTTCGAAGTGGTGCTTCATCTTAATTACTCTTGAAGCTAGTGATTATTGTCAGTTTTGTCGATCGTTTTTTTTTTTGAAAGCTTAAACAGCACCGTTTGCTATGTTTTTTAGTTAATTGAGATATTGTTATGGTAATCGGATAATTGATTTTATTTTCAATTGCTGTGATTCCGGCATACTCGCCTTATTTTCTTATGTGTCGACGACTTTAAGTACATCACACATTTCTGGGTTTTTTCTCTCATTGTTCATTTATGGATAATATTGGAACCATCCTCCCTTAACCATGTCGTGAAAAATATTCTTTTGAATATAAGATTTTGCGAGTCATCAAACATTTCTTATTATTAGAAATTACGTTACATGTATGAAATGTCAATTGCTTAGTAAACATTAAGTTTACTGATTTAGATGCTTTGAAGAAAACTATACTCTATTTTATTTTCGGAGAATAAATGCTATTATTGTATATTACATGCTATTCGAAATATAATGCGTTCATTATGGTGTTGTTTGATTTGTTTATTCTTTTACGATCATAATAATATCACTAGATTTTTAAAATGTGTTTTTATTTTAAAAACTATTAAAGTCTAGTTTGGAAATTTTTTTTCAATTTTTTGATTTTAGCATGTATACTATTTTCTAAAAATTAATTTTGTAGTGAATAAAATTGATATGCATGACCATGTTTCAAAAGACGATTTTCTACGAGGCCATTTGTTCATCAAACGAGGTCGTTATATCATTTTGTGTTATTAAAAATAGTTATTAGTATCCATAATTAGTATTATGAAAATGGAATAAGTATTATTCATCCAATCCATATATTAGGTAAATTTTCAAACAATAAAAGTAATTAATAAATATAGATTAATTTTGTTTCTTTTTTATTGTTTTTTAATAAACTTCTAATATCTTGCTTCTCAAATGTGTTGACCATTTAAAAAATAATATGAATAAAATGTTTAGATATAATAATTACATATTAATAGTCAAAACGCTTGTTGATATTTGTTTAATTTTTTTTATTGTTTATTTTTTTCTTTTTATGTTTTTACTATTTTTTAAATATATAATTCATAATAACTATTTTGTAAAAATATTAACATTTTTCTTTATATCTCATGACAAAAAAATATGATTAAAACATAATCCCTTATAAATATAAATTATAATAAGCAAGTTTTCTATAATAATACTTAGAAATTGATGATAGAAGACAAAATCTCCAGCCATTAAAAATAAAATTATCTCGATATAAAACATATATGAAATTGAGAGGAAAATTACATTCTTCTTCTTCTTCAGATTAAGAGTTATAAAACTATTACATATTTAGTTAAGAAACCTTTGATAACGACATTAATTTTAATTTTCATAAATAAAATATAATTCCAAATATGGTTTAATAAAATAATAAATAAATTCCAAGAGTGATTATAATTAATAACGCATGTACTGAGAATACATTTTTTTATCATTTCCGAAAATGTCAAACTAAACTGATAGTATTATAATTTGAGCATTAATATCTATTAAACTCTAATATTTAATGTCATAAAAAGGCATTAATCTCTATCAAACTCTAATAGTTAATGTCATAAATAGTATTTTGAATAAAACGTAGTAGTAAAAAAGTATTTTAGAAAACCTTGTATATTTTAGGAAAAATTGGTTTCTCGGGCTGGTCTATTACTTGACTAAGCGATTTTTCCTTCGACTCTCTTTCTGCGTAACATCATAATTTCACCCTTCTCCTCACAGGGCCGGTCCACGCTTCATATTCCAAAATCCGAAGGTATGTATGTGAGAGATTCATTTTTCTTTCATTCTATTTATTTGTCATTCTCTACTTTTTTTTACCAAAAGAAAACTTGTTGATCATTATCGTTCGTAAGGTGCGATTTCTTTATTTCATCGATCCCTTCTTATTCAGATTACCCGACTGTTTGAATCCCCGTTTCTTATTAAGGTTACGTACAATTTTTACCAGTGTGTGCTTTTTTAGTGTTTCAATTTTTTGTTGAAGCTTTGTTTCGGGTATGCTTTTACGAAGAGTGTTTTATCGTTGGGGACACCGTGATTGCCTATAACAATTGTATTTTAGAGGTTTTGGTGAACATTAATGAAAGTCTCATTCATCTCCGAGCGATTCTTCTCTCAATTTTAAGTATAGAGTACGGATTATAGTTTCCCCTTTTGATGCTCTGACCGAATACTGCACTGAACAGATACCGTTGTACCATGAAACGGAGATCTAGTACCTGTTCTTGTTCTGAGATCCTAAGGGCATTTTTATTGTGTTTTAGTGATTTTTTATTATTGTTGACGGTATAACAGGTATGAGTCAACCTACCATTTCGTCGTCATTATCATTCTCTCCTACCAAGTATTTAAAATTACCAAATCCTTAATGTTTTGAGACATTCATCTTATTAGTCCGCTAGTGAAATAAACCTTTCAGAGTCTGGTAAATGTCATGTTTACATAATAAATATGATCAAGCATGTAATTTTCATCCCAATTTTTTCTTAGTCCCCTAACTCCATTTTCGTTCAAGCTCTTGTGTGAACTATTGTTAGCATATTATTTTTTGTTTTCATTCACTAATATAAGTATTGTAAATCATTTGTTGTTGTATATTCAAGGATTGTTGACGTAGAAAAAATGGAAATATCAAGAAGATAACTTAGAAGCTAAAAAATATTGCATTGCTAGCACCAAAATGTTGTTAACCATTTGTAAAACACTTCATGCAGTCAACACTTACACTGCAGAATTTTATTTTTTATTTTCTATTATATTTCCGTAAAAGAGGATCAATTTTATAAAGGGTTAGCAATTCTAATGGATTTAAAACTGTTTAATTTATGTGAACAACTACATGAATGCCTCAAAACATTAGGGACTTTTTATTAGTTTTGAATACTTAAGCGACTATGTAGGAGAAAGTTTGATATATTGAGCACCATATTACTGATTTATTTAAACAAGTATAGAAAATAGGTTGCTTCATGCAATATCACACTTTGATATATTTGAGTCTGGAAGTGCATCCATTTTAATTTTTGTAGTCCTAACCAGTTCCTTATAGTACTTTGGAGTTCTGATTGCTTTTTAGGCTTGGCTTTTGTCCAGGGTTCTGGAGAATGATTTTTTCTTGAAATTTGGATAATTCTGTGTCTATTCTCAGATGTCTAGGATCTTCATGTATTTTTGTTAGTTAATAAATTAATATAAAATACTTCGTGTAAGGGCATGAGAAATTCTTGTTTTATTACTGGTATATTGAGCATCTTGTAGAACAACTGCAGATCTGAGGGTTTTTTTTCCCATTATTATCATCTAGATTTAGAGGGTATCTGATTACTTTTTCTTATGCTTTTGCTTCACTAGATGGATTGGCAAGGGCAAAAGCTAGCAGAACAGCTAATGCAGATAATGCTGATTGCAGTTGCTGTGATTGCATTCGCAACTGGATATCTTATGGCTTCTTTCCAAATGATGATCCTCATATATGCTGGTGGTGTGGTTCTCACCACATTGGTCACTGTCCCTAATTGGCCTTTCTTCAACCGCCATCCTCTCAAGTGGTTGGATCCGAGCGAATTAGAAAAGCATCCAAAGCCTCAACCATCTCTGAATATAAATTCAAAGAAGAAATCCGTTAAGAAGTAGGCCTCTTTGACATGTTAGTGCTAGTATTTTGTTGAGTTTAAAATGTTATGATTTGATAGGATTTTGTATTTCTTACTTTCTTTCCATCCCTTTCCCCTTAACTGGATAGTACACTCTACTTAACTTTTGGGACTTCCAAGGTTATAAATTTTTAGTTTTTTATTTCCAGATCCATTTTCTCTTGCAACCATCTTTTTACCTTTTTATCTCCCTCCCGTCCTACACCCGCACATGGGTTGATCTTGGTTTATTGCCTTTCTGCTTGTCATCTCTCTGTTGATCGCGTTAGTGTACGAGTTTTATTATCCTCGTAATAGGGAAGTCAATAATTTCACAAAACATAGCCTCTTTAGCTGGACCTGTGATATAATTTTTTTGTAGTTTCTTCGATTTTGATGGCTAAAATACTTTGTTTTCTGATGCAAATTTCCTTAGGTTGTGTTTGTAGCTCTTTGCTTACAAAGAACGAGACACTTATTGGTGGGTTGTAGTTGTGATGGTAATATATTCATCATGTGTTTCTGCCAAACTGAGTATTTTGGCTGTAACACCAGATATACTTCGAATGAGTGTTGTACAGGTGGTTATGTATTTCGTAATTGAGGTGTCTTTAGGTAAGCTGGGAATGTCAGTTAATTCATGAATCTCCTACAGGTTCCAAATGTAAGTTTCGCTAATGGCAATTCGTGAATCCACGACAACATATCTTGGGAGTATCGAATTTTTATTTCCCGTGTCTAGAATATTCATAACTACGAATGTATAAGCAACGTTTGTTTGAATCGAAAATGGGTGCGAATTTTGCTTTGTAATTCAATCATACGCAGAAAGCATGGATCAACATTCAGTCGTCAGAATTCAAAAGTGTATCCATCGGTGACATTTGTATGGACTATGAACAAAATTTAACCTTTCCTGATAGAGATTTGGGTCAAACAAAACACAAATGAACTTCATTAATAGGAACTAAAGCTCACTCCTACATACAAGTGAAAGAACGGAAAAGGACTATTTACAACGAGAACTCTTGGGGTTAACGAAACTAAGAGTTTTTATTCCGTAGCGCCCTTAAAATGGGATCATTTTCCTCATCAAGCAAATTGTCGTCGTCTTCATCATCTAAATCATCTAAAATTGATTGGTTAATCCTCTTCCGAGATTGTCTCCTATGCTTTTTAGGTTCCAACCGTGGTTCTGCTTGCTGAACACCCATATCTCCCATTTTCAACCTGCAAAAAATTATATGCTAACTGATTTAATAATTTCCTAAGATAAAAGATAAGATTTACGCTTAATCGTATTATTGTGAAAAGAGCAGAACACTGTTATGATGGTGCTTGTTAGAAATGTCATAACAACAATCCGCAAGAGATCTTTTGTGCATTACTCTGCATATTCCAAGAAAAATACTTCTGCTGATATTTCCAGACTTTAGGTATTTTGGGCTAAAATGAAAATGTTATGATATTTATCATAAATAAATTAGAATTGTGCTGCGCTGTTAATTTTATAAATTGATAAAAATCTCAGAATTGAACTCTTTGATCAAAGCATCATACTTTCCAATTAACTAAAAGCGTTGGTTTTCAATCAACAAATACACATCATACCTTACATCCCCTTCTCTTTTAGTTCCAAATGTTCTAAGTTGGAACTCCTCCCTGATTCTGATTTCATCCAGGAGTTGAAAATAGAACGAATACCTTTCCCAGTCTCCCTTCACAATGCACCCAGGTTCTCCCATATGCAAGCAATTGTTAAATGAACATTTCTCAGACTCATTCGCACAAAGCATTTTCCTGATCTGAATAAGGAAAAAGGTTATAAGATCAATCAAAACGGTAAAAACAACTTAACCCTGAATTTATTCAAATACAACTTATGAATTACTAACTTCAGGAAAAGTCTGCGCAAGTGACTGCTTTGTCACTTTCAATAAACTAGGTTGGTTAAATCCAGGAGTATCAGCAAGAAAACCCCCTCCAGATAATGGAAGCAAAGAGACATGGCGAGTAGTATGCTTTCCTCTGCCACTTCTCATTGAAACCTCCCCAACTCGTTGATCCTCAAGCCACTTGCTTCCCGAAATCTGGAAAGTAACTCACATCCCGGGTAACAGATATCAAACTTTCGTCCAATAGAAGAGGTCAAAAAACAAGAATATAACAAAGAAAACATACAGGCTCAAACCAATTTCCACCTTCCGTCACATCATAAGGATTGCTTCTAAGGGCATTTATCAAACTGGACTTTCCCACTCCACTAGGCCCAACAATCACTGTTGTTTGATCCCTCAACTTGAATGCAAGAAGATCAAGTCCATGTCCAGATTCAACGCTGCAAAAAACCGGCTCATACCCCCAGCTGCGCAGCCTGGCCTTCCACGAACTAATGATCTACGCAAGAACAAAAGCAAAGACAAGCAATTGCTTTACACCAGAAAACAGTAACAGTTGGATTGCAAGATTGAAACAACTAGGGTCTTGAGCACCAAAGCTTTATCCCACCAGGTGAGTTCGCATCATGGATCTCATCACACCATTCGATTTACTTATAAAAAAAAATTCCACGCAAAAACCCATATTTGGCATCAAGTTTTACCATGACAGTGAAGGACCTAACACAACCCTCTCCTTTTACTCGAACTTGACTGTGAAACTATACTGGAGTTTGCAGCATAACAAATAAAAACCCGGAAATTCAACAAGCATACCCAACAACTTAAGGGCACCTTTCAATTCTATTTAGTAGAATCTATTAAGTAGAATTCATGAGTATTTTTCCTCCAAAAAGAATCAAATTCTTTTTTTTTTTTTTCATTTTGTGCCCTTGAAATTCAAGAATGTGCATTCTAATTCCCAAAATTGCTCTTTTCAACTTCTATCCAGACTCACTGTACACAAATGACTATTATCCTGTTTGGAGAGCTAACAAGATCAATTCTTGCCCCCAAACAAAAATCACGGTGAAAATTTGTAAAAAGTGGCAACTATTTGTTGCTTTGGCCTTCAATATAGAATTGGAAATGATAATGGGAAAATTGAATCTAATCCAAACACAGTATGTAATAAAATGATTTTAGCTTTCAGGAGAAGCTTAATTCATTTTATTTGTTATTCATCTTGATTGTTAAGTCTTTGGGAGAAATTTATCCAAACAGTGCCTACATGTCATAATTACGAAGGCAGAACAAACAATGACAATGCATAGCGTGTGAACCTCACCTCTTTATCCACAAGCTCGGTCTTGTTGAGTGCCAGCGTGAGAGGGATTCCAGTGGATTCAGCTTCGACAAGAAAGCGCGTGAGAGTGAACGGTTCGGGCCTGGGTTGTTCGAGCGAGAACAGCACGAGAAGGTGGTCGACGTTGGCAACGGGAGGGTCGAGAATCTCAGAGGATCGCTGAAACACGTTCTCAATCCATCCCCTGCGATCCACCCAATCGACGGAACCGACGAGAACCTTGTCCCCGACCATGACCCTACGCTTAATCTTCTTTAAGAGCGCCCTCACCACGCAGAGAAGCTCCACCCCGCGGAAGGTTCCAGAAGAAGGAGGTTCGTCGTTTTTGGGAACGATGACGCGCATGAAGTTAGCCTGCGACGCCGCCACGACGCCGATGGCCTGAGATTCCGTGAGAGGAGGGCTGTCTTCCAGGGAGAGGACAGGGGCGAGAGAGGAAAACTCCTTCAACGATTTTTTCGCCTTCAGAAGGTTGCGACTTGGGGCGGCTTGTCTGTTAGGGTTTGGCTGCTGCCGGGCGGCAATTGGGAGGGACCGGAAACGGCGCAGGAGCAGTGGAGCGGCGGAAGCCGCCGCTCGGTGCCGGAGTATCGAGAATGATGATGCCAACGACATGGAAATGAAACGGAACAACCGAATCAATGAGTGTAGTTAGCGAGTGAGTGAAGAATCTGTTTTTCTGTTCCGGTTACAGCGTCAGGTCAGAGTGTTGGAAGAAGGTCATCTGCGTCACTCTTGGTCTAAACGACATTTGAAAACCATACTCACCACACAAAACGACTTGCCTCTTCTGCTCTCTTCTAGTCACATCCACCAACAACACTTTGCCGCTTAAACGACGTCGAATTTGCTACTGCCACTGTGCCCGATCTTATCCTCCTTTTTGTTTATTCTTTTTTGGGACGTGATAATGCCATGAAATCATAACAATTTAAAATTATTACAAATTATAACTATTTATTTTATCCAATGAAAAGTTTGTTTAAGTTAGTTAAATCAATGTTTTATAATAATTTTTAACATTTTTTATATGTTATTTTAAATAGTGTTTTTTTTAAGAGGCGTTTACAAACACGATAGTTTTAAAAATTTTATATTGATTTTTTTATTTTGAAATATTTACTAAATTTCCTGGTAATTCTTTTAAATAAGGTAAGTTATTTCTTTATTTGTATTTTTTTAAAGTTTTTTACCTTATATTATTTAATTTAACTATTGTAATATTTATTTTATTAATTCAACGTTACATTTCAATAAATTAATAATGTTACTTCTTTCTATACCTTTTTCACTAGCATTATGTTTAACTAATTATTTTAGCCAATACATTAATTAATATAACAACATATAAAATCTTATTAAGTATATATTATTTTACCGAATTCAAGCTTGATTAAACATGTTTTAAAATATAATATAAAATTAATAGTTGAATATATAATTTTTAAAAAAATATATAATAATAATAATTGAAACAAAACAAATCGTTAATTCATATACAAATGACAAATTTAAGAGTTAAAAATATATATAAAGAGATTATAAACACCACAATACCGTGTACTTTTCATCATGAAAAAAAAAAATATCATACAAAGATGTATACATTTTTTTATTTTAACTAAAAGTTTTAATTCACTTTTTTTAATTATGCCAACCATCTTCTTCTTTTTTTAATTCACTTTTTTTTTCTATCATGTGTTGTAATTATTTTAAAATATTACATCCGCATTCCTCCCAATATTGAATTTTTTTCTTATAGGGTAAAATGATGTAAATATTAAAAAAATATTTAATTTCACCCAAGTAAATTTGATTTACTAATAATAACAATAGTTACATAAATTATTAATAATAGCGACAGGTATAAAATTTAATATGATTTATAATCGATATTAAGATAATTTTAATATATATATATATATATATATATATATATATATATAATTTATTAAGATATTTTCTAAAACTAAAATAAAATTAAGAATTTAGAATTGAAAATTTTATCATCGAATCGATTTTATGATTTGTTGAGTTTATTTTATGTCGATATATATTTTTATTGTGAGAAGAGTCTTTGAAACGTATCTAAATAAATATTATATTTATATATAAATTTAAAGTTTTTCCATTTAGGTTAAGAATACGCATAATATATATATATATATATATATATATATATATATATATATATGTATATATATATATATATATATATATAAAGTTTAAATTTTATTTTCTTTCGAATCCTATTTTTTAATATAAAAAATGATTGATTTGACACTATAAATAAAAAAATAATGATTTTCTTTACTTCCTCGAAACAAGGAGGTATATGTATTTTTTTAGAAAAAAATCTAAATAACTTTTATTATTTGAGCACGGATATATTCTTTTGATTATGTCTTTCCGAAGATTAAATTGTTGGCGACAAACTAAATTTTTTAAAACGAATAATACATAAATATTTACTATCATAATGAATATATGAGATTATAATATTTTTATTTCTTAAAAAAACACAAAAAATAAATAGACATAATAATAAATCATAACTACGTTATTAACAGTATATAGGTAATTTTATTTTTAAACAAACCAATAAACAATTAAATAAAATATTACATTAAACTTAAATCTGATTAAATATAATACAACTCAAGTATCTTAATTATCGAGAACAATTTATTAACATCTTGGGTCAGTGTGTCCAATATATTAATTAAGACGATATGAACCTCCTTGGGGCATATGATGTCATCCTTTGGTTAAAAGCTTACTTAAGTTCCTATTTCTTAGAAGAGAACTTTCTGGTAAAACGATTTCAAGGGTCGGAAGCTTTTTGATACACAAGATCTTTATAAGAGGCAAGTGTGGAGCATACTTGCATCTAAGTGGAGAATGATGCTAAGAACTATAAGCTTCGAGTTTTTAGAGGAGAAAACTTAGAAAGAGAACATTTATAGAAAGAGAACTTGTATTGATAGTTGGTTTCGTTCTGAGTTACAATATTACAAGCCCTTCCTATTTATAAGCAAACCAAGCAAGCGGAATCCAAAGCTACGCTAAGCTAGAATGAAATTTGGACCCGAAAACTTATGTTACAAGATGGAATCTGAAATAAAGATAATAAGACTATGACCTACACTTCATAATAGCCTTACAACTGGACAAAATAACATGATACGATTATGACTCATACTCCATAATAGTCATACATATAGACAAAGGGAGAAGATAAGATAGGATTCGAAAAAATAAAATAAGATGTCTTATCCCTTCGAGGAGAAATAAAGTTGATTTAGACTTATCTTCCTTAACACGTTTGTGGTGATCACAATTGCACGTGTAAAGATAAGGGAATCATGTGTTAGTAGCATATCATAATGATAGTCATTAACTAAAACCTTTACTTTAGTCAAATCTGGTGGAGTCAGAATGATCCATTGCTGAGCCTCCTTCTTGTCATGCTTCCATGTAGTGGGTCCTAGTAGGGATACATTTTCTTGTGTGTCATCATTTCATCCATCAGTTCTTCGTTGTAATCATCCGCCAAGTCTTCAGTCTTTTGAAATTCTTCTTTGGATACGTAGATCTTAGTCTTTTGGGATGATCCTATTCAGAGGATAAGAACTAAGTGGTCTTTGGGATGAGTTGGCAATTTTAGGACCCACTGGCTTGTGATGGTAGTTGTTGACTTCGCAGAGGTGTTACGCCAGTTGTGCCCGGTAACTTTCATCAAGTGGATAGGTCTTAAAACTGCCCCTGATGTAGGCTTCATTTCTTAACTATAGTTGACCTACTGAGTTTAGGAAGTATAGACAGTGAATGATGAAGATCGTGGTTAAATCTTTAAGAGATTTTTCAGTAACTCTCATTTGCTTCTGACAGTCTAGGATCTTCTTGAGTTCTTGTCTCCACCAAGATAGTGGTGAGAACCACTCGAGTAGAGTCCAGAAGTAGAATTTGTCTTTGTAAGGATCTGTCAAGATTCTATAGGCTGTCTGTATTTCTAATACGACAGGAATGGAGTACTAAACAGTGTTACACCATATGGTCCAGAAAGTTGGTTCACAAAGATCCTAACCTAGGTCACAAAATAATTCGAAAATTCCCCCAAAAGGAATATCAGGGTTAAAGATGGAGGGCGAGATGATTTTGTATTTCATGATTTCATGCAAAAAATAGAAATAATGGGTCCTTCCATAGTGGAGAATATCGGCTGGTGTGACTGGGTTTAGTCCGTGAGGATAAACTTTGATGGTTTTGACTTTGTTGGAGAGGGGTTTGACCATGAAGATAAGAGAAAAACTATAAGTGTTAGAAATCAATTGGATAGTCTTCATAGGTCTGGACAAAAAGTCAGAGACTGTGTTTATGTTTCCTTTAATGTACTTAACAGTAAAATCATACTTGGAAAATCAGTCCATTAGCCGGAGGATCTTAGGACTAGGAGACATCTTGTTCTTGAATTCTAAGAACTTCGGAAACGAAAAGAGTTGTCCATTTGTACCTCGAAGTGGTGTCCTCTGAGATGGAAGTCAAATTTCTTTATTCCATTCTTGACTGCCAAGGCTTCTTTTTTCCGTTTCCTGGAATCTTCATAGCAGAAGGAATCTGTGCTACCTTCTTCAGTTCTTTAATGGCTCTGGTCTGCTCTGGTCCCCATGGAGGTGGATTTTTCTTTAAGAGCTTGGATAATGTACTTGTATATTTGGCAATGTTAGGGATGAATTCCCTAATGTAGTTGACTATCCCGAGAAACTGTTGGATCTGCTTGGTGGTTAGATTTTCATCCGGGAAGATGAGAAGTTCCTCAGCAATATGAGATTGATGTTGATAAGAGTCGTGACAAAAGTGCATTCCCAGAAAGTCAATTTCTTCTTGGGCCAAGTGGATCTTATTCTCTGAGAGCATAATCCCATGTTGATGGGCTATCCCGAAAAATTGGTCCAATAACTTTTTGTGAAAGTCCATGTCCTGTGGAACAATATAATGTCATTAATGTAAATGATCGCTCTATCTAGTATGAACTAAAAAATTCTTGTCATGGCCTTTTGGAACAGTGATGAAGCTGTTTTAAGCCCAAAGGACATTACTTTCTATTGGTATTGAGCATTGGGTATACAGAAAATAGTTTTGCATCAGTCAGCTGGGTCAATACCTAATTGCCAGAATCCTGATTTAAGGTCAAACAGAAAAAATATGGGTTTTCTTTATCAAAGTGGGTAAGGATGATGCTTTGGGTATTGCGAATTTGTTATCCTTAAGAAAATGGTTGAGAGACTTATAGTCGATGACTAACATCTTTTTTCCTCTGATTTTTTTTTTACCTCTTTTCTACATAAAAGGCTTGACATGCCCAATTAGATTGGGTTGGTTCGATTAGGCCTTGTTTCAATAATTCCTGACATTCTTGTCTTGCTAGTTGTAGGTCTGATGGAGACATTCCTAGATGTGTAACTTTAGTCGAATTGACGTCTTCGTTGAGCTCGAAGGATAGTTGTACAAAGAACTCAGGATTCTTCCATAGAGATTTCGGGTGAGAGAAGTTTTCATGGCTGTCAGCACACATAGCAACTAGCTTGTTTCTTTATCTCTTCAAAGTCTGGGAA